GCACACACACGCACAGGCACACATGCACAAGCACACACATCACAAACAAGATATAGTAAAAATCTCGTGAAAGAAGCACAGGCTCGAAATCTGATTTACATTCAAATCCCAGATCTGTCACTACCAGCTATGTGACCTTGGAAAAATTGGATAACCAAATCTTCATCGTTTTTTAAGGTGGGGAATGGAATCGCACTACCACCCTACCTGTAGTTGTCAATTAACTGGAGCAACCAGTGAGATCTCAAGAAACAAACATCCTGTCTCTCCTCTGGAGAGGGAATTGAGTTAGGAAAGAAAAATCCTTTGGGCCAATGACCTACTTCCTCTTAACATGCCATTTCTCTTCTAAGAAAGTTATAGCCTCTCCAGACATTGGAAATGCAATGCAGCCACCCTATACCCCTCAAATTCACCTATGTTGTACCTGAAGTATTCCCTCACACTCTACACAATGGAGCCACTCTACACGCTCCAGCTGATTACGTAGCTGTTTCGTCCACTCTACACTGAGTGCACATATTTGTGCAGCGCTGTGCCTATCACACCAAATCCATTTGACTTGCTTTGGGATATTGCTACCAGGCTATTTTCCCAAAAGAGGTGGTGCAAAGCTTCTGTGTTCCAACACAGAAAAACCCTTCCATGTCATCATTTCAATGTTCTTAACCAAAACCTTTGGAGATATGGTGATGATACCACTGCCAGATCAGGGACAGCAATCTTACCCAAAGAATTTGTGATCACCTGATATATGAATGTGGCAGAGCCAATGAGGATCAATTTTTACAGCATCTACCCCATTTCCTGCAATTCTCATAAAGCACATCACCCTGGTGAGAAGCAAATCAGTGAACACCAAACGTGTACTTGTTACTGGCCATGTATCCGTTGTCATTGAAGGCTGTTGGGGAATGTTTATGTGATCAGAGTGCTAAGCTTCTAGGTGTCAGAGGGCAAGGGGAATGCAAATGAGTTTCTTGGACCAGCACAAAACAGAAGCATGTAAGAGATAGCTCTGTTCATCATTTAACAGAAGCATGTAAGAGATAGCTCTGTTCATCATTTAACAGAAGCATATAGGAGACGGTCCTGTTCATCATCTACATTGAGTTTCTCAAGGTAACAAGCCTAAGGGAAGAACAGAAAAGCAAATGCAAGCCCTGGAAAGGACGGCAAGAAAGAGGAAATCACAGTCAAGTAGAAAGATCAGTGAATGGAAAGAAGATCAGCATCTCACACAGTCAAAGTAAAACAAGAGGGGGGCAAGTTTTCAGTGGCATCAAATACAGCAAAGGATTTTAGGAAGAGAAGCGGCAAGAAGCGATCAAACCAGGGGGAAGTTCACAGTGGTTTGTGAGGTTAAGTGGTTTCTGGGTAGGTAGGTGGTTTCTGTTATATAAACACCGGCTTACATAGAACGAGATATTTAGATCAACATCTTGTTTTTCCCGGACCATTAAAGAGTTGTTATAATTAGACTCAGTCATTCATTCATTTATTCCATTAGCATTTACGGTGCTCTCATAAGCACCTAACTCCACTAAGCTCCATGGGGTAGGGCACCTAACAGAGAAGCCATAATTAAATCACAATGCTCCTTTCTTAAAAGCAATCTGGCAAAGTTTTAAATGAGAGACTTCTTTAAAAAATGGAAGTCTCACTGCCCTGTAGCTATTTTCAACTTATATTCTTTTCTAATATAGTAACCTTTTGTTTTCCTTTCTTTCTTTCTTTCTTTCCTTTTTAATTAGGAAGGTTAGGTTTGCCAATCTAGAATGAGGGGCACCAATTTGCAAGGAAATAAAATAGTAAAATCAGAATACTGTGAGGAAAGGCAGGAATGGTATTTTTATCTTGTGTTAAATTTTACTCTACCAACACAGAAACCCACACAACATAGTCCAAAGGCACCAAATCAGTTACACACACACACACACACACACACACACACACACACACACGCTTTTATATTGCCTTGCATCTCATAACTTAGCAGATTTGTTTGGCCACGCCACCGGCAAAGAACTAACTTGGATGTCAATGGGAGGTTAAAAAGAGCAAATCTCAAAGAATCTTGTGTGAGCTCTGAGGGAAAACAGAAGTTGTATTTATTCCTTGTACTAGGTAGGTATGTATGTCCACAACTCTTGGTGCCTACAACATAAGCTTGACTGCCCACATGGAAAACTACCAAGAATTCCACATTTTCAGAAAACAGAGCTCTGAGTCTCCAACTGGAGCTCAGAGCCCCCTTGCAGCACAGAATATGGTACCCGACAAACAGGCAGCCCACTGGCCACATTCGACACGCCAAAAAGGAATAATTTTAAATTTAAACATGGGTATGATGGGAAGGAAAAATAGCAAGTTTGCCACATTTTTATAAAAACAAAGCTTCAAAGGATTTTTCCCCCCTTTGGTTGTGAGACTAGCCTTTAACAGCTGAGCCATCCCTCCAGCCCCAAAGGATTTTTTTAAATGAAGACTCAAATGCAGGTCTGTGTCACAAAAAGAACTTATTCAGTGAACGATTATGGATTTTAGCATGGAAAGGGACACCAGTGCAAAGTGAATAAGGTTGACTTACATCACTAGATCCCCTCAGTCTCAGCAGCTATTGCTTTTTTTTTTTTTTTTTTTTTTTTTTTTTTTTGCTATTTTGAGACAGGGTTTCTCTGTGTAGCCTTGGCTGTCCTGAACCTCATTTTATTTTGTTTCCCTTTTAAAGATTTGTTTATGTATTATGCATACAGCTTTCTGCCTGCATGTATACCTGCAGGCCAGAAGAGGGCACCAGATCTCATTGCCATGTGGGTGCTGGGAATTGAACTTAAGACCTCTGAAAGAGCAGCCAGTGCTCTTAACGTCTGAGCCATCTCTCCAGGCCCTTACCAGCTATTCTAATCAGTAAAGACATGTGGAACTTTCACTGTTCAGATAGAACCTGAGAAAACCAGGGCACCCATTACCACCACAATTACAGTTTACAATCCAATATGCACAAACATATGGAAGTTTTATGAGTGCCCTTTTGTACTGTGCCATCCAAAGGAGCCCAACTTAAAACTAACCAAGCCACTTGGGTATGTACTGAGAGGTGTAGTATTTTTTTTTCTTTTTCTGCTTCCCATATTTTAGCTTCCTCCAGTCTTTTCTTTTTTCTTTTCTTTTTTTTTTTAGTGAGGAAAAAGAAACATTTTTACAAAAACTAAAATCCTTTAAAGGCTTTCCAAGATTAAAAATGTCTGAAAAACCATTGTGAAGACCCTTGAAATGCTTATTTCCTTACTGTCATTAACCCCTATACCTAGAAATCTGATTTATCAAATTTGGAGCATCTCCACCTTTTGACTCATGTCAAAAGTCACACCTATCAAAAACCCAAGAATATCCTTTTTACACAACTTCAAGCATTTCAACACAAGCACTTTAAATTCATCAACTAGGTTTTTTTTGTTTTAACATCTATTAATTGCCCCAAATGAGTTTCATTATGAAATTTTGTGTTTGTGTACATGTGTTGTTAACACCTTAAGTGTCAGTCACCACGAATCTTTCTTTTTTGTTTCTTGAGAAGAGAGAGTCTCTCATCAGCATGCAACTCACCAAGTAGGCTAGGTTGGCTGGCCAGGAGGACCC